CCCTACTGTGTAGAATGAGCGCTTTTCTCTGAATCTTAGCAAATCCACCTCCCACTTATCGCTTTGTCTCACTGAATTTTTGCAATAAGACCTCAGAGCCTGAGCTGGGCATCCTGGGTTTTGGTCCGGCTCATGTCCCAGGAGAGAAAGCTGAAGGACAGGAGGAAAAAGCAGTGGGAAAAACGTGCCAAGGAATCCCCTTCATAGCCTGCTGGAAAATTTGCTAGATGTCTGACCAGTGCTCACAGTTTCCATTGGCCTGATTCTTGGTACAGAGATGAGAAGGGACAGAAGAAACCCCACCGGCTTGGGTAACCGCTACTGGGGCCCAGCAGATAGTGCCTTTGGGACATACCGAAGAGCAGCCTCTCCAGAGTCCCTCAATTGTGCTCACTGCTGCCCGCCTGTTCGCAGGGGGTTCGAGGAAACAAGAAACGTGAGATTGTAAAGGAGTTAAGATTTTGTTAGGCATGTCCCTCCAGCCATAGCAGCGAGGACCTCCTACCTTAACCAGAGGTCTTCTGGAATCTGAGACTGAGCCGCGTGGGCTTTCTGCTGAGTTCTTTTCTCACTGCCCCGGTTTCCAGCACGATGGGCCTTCCCCTGCGCTGGGTTTTCTTCACGTTCCACTTCTATCGTGGGAGCTTTGCTGAGTTGGGCTCCTGCTGCGCTTGGCCTCTTCCACATGGAGGTTGTTTCAGCCAGGTTAAATCCGAGTCACGGCACCATAGATGTCAGGCGAGTGTGTGTTCCTCGGCTCTTTGTCTCATCACAACAAAAATTTGGAGTGACGGACATTAAAGCCACCTTGGTGGGTTGCCCCATCTCGCGGGAGAGAGAGAGAGAAGAGGGTTTTGGCTCCTCTTTTTATATGTTTCTCTCTCCCTGGGCCTGTCTTATGTAAATTGGGCCAGACAGGAGTGTTGTTTGTTTTACCTGAGGTTCTCCCTCTGGTCCTCAGACCTTCCTTTGTTCTATTTTTTCGGGCTTTTCCCTTCCAGGTCTTTTAGCCACCGCCATTCTGGACTCCTTTTCCCTATTCTAACTACCCAACACAAGTATCTGTGTAAAGTGGGATTAGAAATGATTTTTATTACTGGCTATATTTTCCAAATGTTCCACTATGTTCCCTGGTGGCTCGATGGCAAAGAATCTGCCTGCAATCCAGGAGACCTGGTTCAATCCCTGGGTCAGGCAGATCCCCTGGAGAAAGAAGGAAATGGCAACCCACTCCAGGATTCTTGCCTGGAGAATTCTGTGGACAGAGGAGCCTGGAGGGCTACAGCCCATGGGGTCACAAAGAGTTGGACATGACTGAACAACTAACACATTTTGACTGGTTTCAAAAACTGGTGTAGGGGAGGAAAAATAAATTTCCTTCTATCCTTCTAGGTTCTTGGCTGAGAACCCCACAAAAAAAGGCAGATTAATGGAATAAAAAAATTTTTTTGCAAATATATGGGACTCAAAGGCAGTTAGGTAATTGAGGTTTATCTACCATCCTGAGCTAAGGAAAGGGACAGGAATCTGGGTCTTCCAAGAAGTGGTGGTACGGCGGGCAGAAGCAATCCACAGAAAGGTAAGAAGAGCAAATAATTAACAAACAAATGCTTGCTTTGCCATGCAGATATGTCTTGCAGATGAGATACTTGTCTCTGATAATAGCTCTCTTCTTAGTACATGCCCCCTTTCTAAAGTGTTTTATGCAGGTAAGGGAGAGGTAAAAAGCTGTCTTAAGTGATTGCCTTCAGTTTAAAATAACTCACAGCCAAAGTGTCACCAGGGAAGCCCCCAGAAGTAATTTTTATAATCAAAAACAATGGGACATTTGTAATGAATGAGATATTTGTTTCTGAGTTTCTAAGAGACTTGGGAGATTCTTAGGGCCGAGAAAGAACTCTGAGCTTCAAAATCAAACAAGGTTTTGACCCATAGTTCTGCAACTAGTGTAGTCTTGAGCAGGTCACCAAGCCTTTATAATCCTCAGTTTTCTCATCTTTGAAATGGAGTAACCACCCATCCAACATTTTATCAAGATTAGATGAGATCATGTGTATAAAGCACTTAGAGTCATTGCATACATATAAATGCCTAGTAACTGCCAACTTCAGTCATGATAGTCATTATTTCTGGTGTGTGGTATATGAACTGGCACTTAGATAAAGACTTCAGAAATGGACTGATGCAGGGAATAATTTCTGAGATGAAAAGCAGCTACAAAAAAAAAATCCCCTGAAGGTGATGTGGGCTTCAGGGAACCACAAACTCCTTTGTAGCTTGGTAGCTGGTGGGTGGGGTGAAGTATTCATTATGGGAGGAGGAATGCTAAGACTGTGCTCTGTAGCAAAACCACACTGCATAAAACCATGGGCAAACCCAAACGTTTATGCTCTCAGAAGTCTCAAAAGGCAACCAACCAACCAGAGGAACATAAAGAGCTGGACCTAAGGGTGAGGAAGTTAATATGCACTTTCCCTTTGTGTTGAACTCAATGTCCCCATCTTCTGTGGGTGAGCAGTCCCCTGCATGCACATACTAAAGACCTCAGAACTTGGAGTATTGGGTTACTTGTCACAGAGATCGGGAGAAGGGCCAGGTAAGGGACTAAGGTTTAATAAGCCTGACTACATGTAAGCCAATTTATACACATTTTTTTTTTCACTGAATCCTTGTCATTTTGAGAGGTAGGTGCTACTGCCTCATTTGTAGATGATGCAGTCAGAATCAGGGAGGTTGGTGACTTGATTAAGATTACACAGTTACTAAATGATGGAAAAGTGAAAGTGGCTCAGTCCTGTCTAGCTCTTTGTGACCTCACGGACTGTAAGTTCATGGAATTCTCCAGGCCAGAATGCTGGAGTGGGTAGCTGTTCCCTCCTCCAGGGGATCTTTCCAACCTAGGTATCCAACCCAGATCTCCTGCATTGCAGGCAGATTCTTTACCAGCTGAGCCACCAAGGGAACTCAAACTCAAACTCAAAGGCTGGCATCTACCCCAAGCTGGCATCTTTTCCCATCACACCTCTCCATCATGTCAACTTCCCATTGCCTCGACAAAGGTTTCATAGCAAAGATGGCTAAATATAGTGGAAAGGCAAGGGCTCTCAAGTTAGAAAAGCTGGATTCAATTCTGGAGACTTTCTCTGTGGACCAGGATGAGTCACTTGATATTTCTTAACTTTGGTTTTCCTATCTGCAAAATGGAGATCATGAAACCTGTAGTGCTGAATGACTGAACAGATCAAATGGGGCTGACAGTGCTGCCTAAACTTGAAAGAGTCGTGGGAATGTTAGTGCTTTTGGTTAGGGGCTGGAATTTTAGGATGGGCTTTCCAGGTGGCTCAGCTGGTAAAGGATCCACCTGCCAAGCAGGAGACTTGAGTTTGATCACTGGATCAGGAAGATCCCTTGGAGAAGGAAATGGCATCCCACTCCAGGATTCTTGACTGGGAAATCCCATGGACAGAGGAACCTGGTTGGCTATAGTCCATGGGGTTGCAAGAGAGTCAGGCCTTAGCGACTAACCAACAACAAAGAATTTGAGGATATCTCAGAGGAGGCTGTTGCCAGCAAGGTAGGGTTGATACAGATGCAGGGTAGGAACTTCTGCTTGAGCCTGGAAAGATGAGATGAAGAGAATGGCTCGACTCGCCCAGAGCAGGAGGGCTTTGCACAGCATTTCGTACTTTAAAACAGGTCGGTAAACATTAACTGAAATTAATCCAGGCATGGCACAGGAAGTGCTTCGGGTGAAAATCAATCCTTTCATTAAATATTTCTTACTCACTCTGTACAAGGTCCAGAGAAGATAAAGGAGAATAAAACAGGTCCTTAGTAACATGAAATAGAAGGTGCTAAATAAACATCACTCAGAGAAATCCTCTGGAGGTGCTGTGGAAATAGACATGAAAGACCCAGGCCCTTGCTCAAAGAGCTCCATCTGGGAGAGGGATCTGCTGCATCCTAGACAGAGTATTCAGGGTTCTCAGAGTAGGGCAGAGGTATGAGTGGTCAGAAGGGGAGGGGAGATGCCTGCCTGGGGGCAAGAGGCAGAGAGATAGGGAGGGTGGGAAGAGTAGGCGGGAAATAAGGTCCTTGGCTCTTGTTTCTAATTCAGGGGATGGTCAGCATCAGTTTGAAACATGGACAGTAGTGGGGAGGACAGGAAGGAGACAAGGAGAAATAAGGTTGGGAGGGAGGGACTGGTTGGATGCTGTGAGGAAGGGATTGGGGGCTGGGAGAGGGGGCAGGGAGTAGAAGCTGACCAGAGAGGAGCTCTTTGCTAAGGAAATGGGTCAGAGGTTGGGTTTCTCCTCTCAGAGACAGGAGGTTCAACATATAAAAGCCTCGCACCTCTTGTTAGAGCCCTATCTTTAGTCGTTTAAATTTTCTGAACCTCAATTACTTTATAAAATGAGGCTAATTATACTTACCTTATACGATTGTTGTAAAGAATGAACTCCATCAATTCCACAGCATATGTGCCCTAGGAGACATACTCAAGAATGTTCCTAGCAGCACTGTGTGTGTTGGAAAAACACTGGAACCATCTTAAGTGTCCTTCAATTCACTGGATACATAAATTATAATGTATTCATAAAACAGAATGCTACATAGCCAAGAAAATGATGAATTAGAACTCTATGGATCAACAAGTATGAATCTCAGGAACATACTGTTGAATAAAAAAAGTCACAGGAAAACATATGCACCCTAATTCCTTTTATATAAAGTTAAAAACACACACACACAAAACTGAAAAAAAAAAACAACTCTTAAAAATACAATTATGTAGTTAATTGTAAAGAAAAGCAAGGGAGAAAGGCAAAATATTTGGGAATGTGATTATCTCTGGATGAGAAGGAAGGTGATGGGATGAGGCACTCAGGGGATTTCCAAGGTAGTGGTAATGTTCATTTTTTTATATAAAAATTGCTTTTGGCAGTGTTCATTTTTAAAAACTGCTTTTGGGTGCAGAAGTTTTGTTGTATCATTTTTAAATACTTTTCACATATTTTATAAGTATTCTTTTTATTAATACAAACAAAAAGTCTATCCCACCTAATACTAACTGGTATAAATTATATAATAGTTTATAAAAGAAGCCAGCAAATTTAGAGAATTAACTTTGAATGACCCAGCTTTTGATGAATTAATTTGTTGGCTTGTTAGCCATGTGGCAGCGTGATGGTTTGGTGATTTGTGATCTGCTTGTAAAGTTGACCTGGAGTCTGGTGTTGCCTAAGATTGGGACTATCAGCAGGAAGTAAGGCATGGGCCAGCTGGAGGGGGCAGCCCCTAACCCTCCTAGAGGAAGAGGGGAGCTTTGTTGGAGGCCTGGGCTGAGTCCTGATAATGAGTAAGTGCTAGTCTGTTCCTCCCCTTGACAGCTCTCAGCTGTGCCCCCTTCTCGCCACCCCCCAGGACCAACGGTGTGGGCCTCCTGATGGGTCTCTTGGTATCTACTCTGATTCCCTTCAGTGCTCCAAACCAGATCCAGAGAGAAATGTTTTGTATATAGATCTGATCTCTTTGCCCTGCTAGACACCCTGTCTTCCTTGGCTCACAGGATAATAATCACAATGATTAAAGTTGTTGAGACAATGAAAGGAGTTAGCGCATGTAGCCCTCGACTGTAGCCCGCCAGGCTTTTCTGTCCATGAGATTTCCCAGGCGGGAATACTGGAGTGGGTTGCCATTTCCTTCTCCAGCGAAATCTGCCCGACCTTGGGATCCAACCCACTTGTCCTGCATTGACAGGCTCATTCTTTAACACTGAGCCGCCAGAGCTGCTGTTATAGTTAAAAGCCTGTGCCTCTCCCCCTACCTCCACCTTGCATGGCCTCTCCAGGTTCACCTTGGGATCTTGTAAATAATCTCCAGGTACTTCCCACTTGTCTTCTCAGTTCCTAGAGTGCACCAGACTCCTTCTTCCTTTGGGAACCTGTTTTTTGGGTCTTAGCCACATGTTCTTGTTCTGGGAACCGTCTCAGAGCCCACTACCTTTACCCTAGACAAGCCACTTCTCCTGAGAAGGAACCGACTAATTTCTCTTTCCTTGGTGCCAAGCACAAAGCGGGTACCGGCAAGCTTTGTTAAAGAGAAGAATGATACACTGAGGGTCTGAACGGTTGACCCCAGGGCCAGCATTGACTGACTTCCTGCCACTCTGATGATGACAAAGCTGCATGTCGCACTGCGCGGGGCGGTCAGCAGCCTGGAGGACCTGCTCATTAGTCCAGCATTTGCGGGGGCCGCAGGGAGTTTCCTGAGGACTTTCCCACTGAGAACCACTCGCTCAAAGCCTGAGCAGGAGCCCCAGGATAACCAAAGCTGAAGCATCTTTTACTGTCAGCCAGCAGGATCTTGGACTCTGAAATATGACGCAAGCGGCTCTGGCAGCCTTGGCCCTTCGCTCTTGTCTGGCCCTATTTCTCACTTGACTTCTCCTCTACACTCAGCGCAGCTTATTTACAGGGTTCCCACGTGTGAGCACGGGAGGAGGGGCACTCGGTGATGACAGCCAGCAGCCCCCAGGCCTTGGGGCATCTGGGTGAGGAAATGAGGAAGGTATGTACACAGTTCATGTCAACAGTAATGACTGCAAGCTCAGGAATCTGGCCAGGGCAGCTGCTGCCTAGAGGGAGTTTCTGGTGTTCAGTGAATGCCCAATATTGTGGGATGGATGTATGGCTAGTATGGGGGGTGGGGGTGTTCATTCAGTCAGCCGTCTCCTCGCTCGCAAGAGAAGGCTTTCTTCAGCACTGAGTTTTGAGGCATGGGCAGCTGTTTTTCAGATGTTCGGGGATCATATGAAGATGAGGGAATAGCATAGGTCAAGATGCAGAGACCTGAAATGACGGGATTGCCGTGGTATTACGGTAGTTCTGGGGTAGAGCAAGGAAGTGTAGAGGTTTTGGAGGAATGGGCATGGGAGCAGATTAGGCTGAAGAGAAAGGCAACTGAGGCTTTGTCCTGCGGCACTGGGAGCTAAAGAAGGATTTTTACCAGGGGAAAGGCATGATGAAATTGCTGTTTGCAAAAGATCACTCTGATAGTCTGTGCAGGGGTTAGAAGGCAAGAGAAGAGATTGCTAGAGCCTATTGTAACAATCCAAGTGAAAGATGGTGTGGTTTGACTTAAGGCCGGCAGCAGGACTGAAGAACAAGAGACCGATTCGAGACATCTTTTCTCATCAGAATGGTAAGGGCAGGTGGCTCCTCTATTAAATATGCATTATACTCTGGCTGTGTTCAGGAAAACATGTATGCATGTGAGAGGGGAGAGGTGCAGAGATGAAGAAGACACTTCCCTCCCCTTACAGAGGGGAGGCCAACCTGCATTAATCCATCACTTTGACTGAGGGCCCGCTTAGCCCAGGACCAGAGGTAAACACCATACACTGTCTGCAGTGGCAAGCGGGCGAGGAACCAGACCCTGAAGCCCTGTGGGAACTTAGGTGCCAGAGTGTTGCTTCTAGCTCATGCAGATGCATGGGGTCAGGTAAAGAGGAGGCCGTAGAGTGGGACCTTGGGACATGGGGGTTTGATGCTTTGGGAAGCCACTCTGGGCAGGGGGCACAACGTGAGCAAAGCACAGTGATGCCGAGGCCCAAGGAACAATGATTCAGTTTGGAGTGTGTGTGTGTGTGTGTGTGTGTGGCTACAGAGAAAGAGACAGGACATGGCGGGGCCAGCTGGGGGTGGCCCATGGTGAGCCCTAACGCCAGCCTAAGGAGCAGGGGTGGGTGGAGCAACTCTGGAGGCCACAGAGGCTTCTGTGCAACACTAGGGACATGGTCTGTGTGAAAGAAGGGCAAATCTGGGGTTTCCCTGGTGGCTCAGTGGTGAAAAATCCACCTGCCAATGCAGGAGATGTGAGTCTGATCCCTGGTCTGGGAAGATCCCACACACCGCAGAGCTACTAAGTCCATGTACCACAACCACTGAGCTTGTGCTCTAGAGCTGCAAACTGCAACTACTGAGCCCACATGCCCTAGAGCCCGTGTTCTGCACCAAGAGACGCCACCACAGTGAAGAGCCCACGCCCCAAAGGTAGAGAGTAGTCCCCACTTGCTGCAACTAGAGAAAAGCCCTCGCAGCAATGAAGACCCAGAACAGCCAAAATAAATAAATAAATAAAAGTATAAGATGACAAATTTAGTACCATGTTCACTAAGCTGGAGGGACAAGCCCTTCCCTGAACGGGGAGATCAGTAGTTGGTTGTTGGCATAGCCACTGTGAGCAATGATGGTTCTCTAGACCAGATTTCTGGCAGAACTAGTGAAACTGAGGGGACAAGATGTGTGAAGGAGACAAAGGCAGCCTATTGAGGATTCCACGAGTATTTAACTCTCTTCTTACTGCTTATTCTCGGTTCACAGGACCAGACTTTGTGCTAGGCGTGAGGGTGTGGGCAGTTATTCAGGCACAGTTAGCAAGGATCCCATGACTGGTGTGAGCTCACAGGCCAAAGGGAGAAAAGAGAGAAAGGAAACATTCGTTGTCTTTCAATTAGAGCTAGTGCCAGGAACTTGATATATGTACTCTCAAAACGATAGCAGGAATAAGATTATCTCCTTTTTTTTTTTTTTTCAGATGTGGAAACAGATTCTGAAATGTGAAGTTACTTGTCCCAGTTGCAGAAGCAAATTAGGGGAAACTTCCAAAGACAGCACTTTGTCTCCTATACCGGGAGCCTCCATTGAAGCCATCCAGATCTCTCTGGTGTTCATGTCCCCTGTTGCATATGGAGATAACAGCGATGATATAGATGACTAATAGTTGAGAGGGACCAAGAATTGTTTCTCGTGTATATCAACTAATTTAATACTTGCAAAAATGCTGTGAGTTGGATCCTATTATTATCCCCTCGAGATAGACAAGCATTCTTGAAACTCAAAGAGGTTAATGATTTATCCAAGGTCAAAGCACTGGTAAATGGAAGAGACAGGATTTGAACCTAGGGGGTCCTGTTCAAAGCCCATGCTCTTAATCAATGTGTTATCCATAAGTAATAACCAGCTAGATTCTCCTATGCAGACATAAATTAAATTACCTAGTGTGCTTGTTTTCAGATTTTATTTATTATTTTATTTATTTATTTTTGACTACACTGGGTCTTTGTTACTGCAGAGGCTTCCTCTAGTTTCGGTGAGCGGGGGCTACTCCTTGTTGTTGTGGTGCGTGGACTTCTTATTGGGGTAACTGGTCCTGTTGAAAGCACAGGCTCTAAGAGCTCAGGCTTCAGTAGTTGCTGCACTCAGGTTCAGCAGCTGTGACACAACGGCTCAGCAGGCCCTAGAGTGAGGGCTTCAGTAGTTGTGGCAAAGGGCTTAGTTGCTCCGAGGTATATGGAATCCTCCCAGACCAGAGACTGAACCCCTGCATTGACTAGCAGATTCCCATCCACTGTACCACCAGGGAAGCCCATTTGCAGATTTTATATTTACACATGTTTATTTATTCATTCAAAGAGCCTATGCGAAGAACCAACTCATTGGGAAAGGCCCCGATGCTGGGAAAGATTGAAAGCAGGAGGAGAAGGGTACGACAGAGGATGAGATGATTGGATGACATCACCAACTCAATGGACATGAGTTTGAACAAATTCCAGGAGACAGTGAAGGACAGGGAAGCCTGGTGTACTGTAGTCCACACCAGGCTTTGCAGTGAGAAGCACTGAGGTAGGGCCAAGCGAGATTCCCTGAGGAGCAGAAAGGAAGCTGGTGGAGCTGGATTAGATTAATGATAGGGAGAGTGGCAGAAAATGACATGGGAGGGTGATGGGATCATATGGGGCCACGGCATGAAGTTTAGATATCTAGAGAAAGTAAAGTAAGCAAGGTGGTGATATTTAGCCTTAGGGATAACAGGAATAGTAGAGTCATTCTGTTCACAACCACAAATTTGCAATCAGTCATTTGCAATCACACCAGGGGTTGCAAAGAGTAGGACACGACTGAGTCACTGAACAACAATGTTCATTCATTCAGCAGTTATTGAGTGCCTTTTATGTGCCAGGCCCTCTATCCAGTACACCAAGGAAATCCAAGGATATTTAAGACAAGGGCCTGCTCTCAGGGCTGGCTGAGAGACAAATGAACAGGTACAGCGAGGAACAGGGAAGACATCAGAGGGGCTGGGCAGAGGTAAGACACTATCTAAAGTAAGGCACACCATGTTCATTCTGCCTGCTACGTAGACAACAAGCCCTAGGAAGGTAAGGATGGGAGTCAGAAGACCAGTGAAGATTGGTGCAGTTGATCAGGAGAAAGACACACCGGTGGCCTGGGCCAGGATGGTGGCTGGGCAGTTGCATTACAACATGGGTGTCGGTGGCCTGGCTGAGAGCTCTGCTTGAATGAGATCTCTCACCAACTCCTGGCTCTACCACTGAGGACCCTATTAGTCTCTGGACAGGTCTCTTCCTCTGGACCAATGTGAGGTAAGGTGCTTGTGTCAAAATGACTCTACTATTCCTGTCATCCCTAAGGTTAAATATCACTACCCTGCTTACCTTACTTTCTCTGGGTGTCTAAACTCCATGCCATGGCCCCATATGATCCCATCACCCTCCCATGTCATTTTCTGCCACTTTCCCTATCATTAATCTAATCCAGCCCCACCAGCTTCTTTTCTATTCCTCAGGGAGTTTCGCTTGGCCCTACCTCAGTGTTTCTCACCTGCTGTTGCTCAGCCCAGGAAGCACTTTCTCTAGATCATTATCAGGCTAGGTCTTTTGCAACCTGATCTCAGCTTAAAGTTCATCTCCTCAAAGAGGCCATTTCCATCTTAACTTAGATGGAACCCCAATTTGCCATATCAATTCTCCAAGATTACATTTCTCCTAGAACTTAGTGCAAACCAAAACCATCTTCCTTAATTGTTTTCCTCTTTGTCATCTATCTTCTCAATACAAAATCAGTTCCCTGAGAACAGAGACCTAGTCTGTCTTTGCTCATTATGATATACCCAGTGCTTAGAACAGCCCATAGTTGGCACATGGTAAATACTTAGTGAGTATTTGTTGAATGACTGAGTGAACGAATGAATGAGCCATCTTTCAGCTTTCTGTAACATATATTCTAAAACAAGATATTATCCATTTGCTGAATCAGAAAAGTTTTTTTTTTAATTAAAAAAATTAAAAGTCTGGATTTAAAGAAGGAAGTGAATATGCATTCTCCTGAATTGAATTTTTTTTAATCGTGCTGTCATAGACTGTTCAAATTGGGTGGAAACTATCTTGATCTTTAGAGTCAGGCAGTAAAAGTGAATGTGTTAGTCGCTAGTTGTGTCTGACTCTGCGACCCCATGGACTGTGGCCCACCAGGCTCCTCTGTCCATGGGATTCTCCAGGCAAGAATGCTGGGGTGGTTTGCCATATCCTCCTCCAGAGGATCTTCCTGACCCAGGGATTGAACCTAAGTTTCCTGCACTGGCAGGCAGATTCTTTACCATCTGAGCCACCAGGAGAGCCCAGGCAGCCCTGGGTTCAAATGCCAGATCTGTTGTTTGCTAGCACACATATGTCACTTAACCTCCTGATCCTCAGTCTCCCTAGCTATAAAATGGGGGTAATAATGTCTACCTTGGAGGGGACATTCAATTAGACATTAGATATACAGTGCTGAGGACATAGCTGGTGCTCAGTAAGTTGTTAATTCCTCCTACCTCCACGGGGACCCTGTGGGCACAAGCCTGTCTCACTCTCCAGGATGTGACCTCCAAGGGCAGCCTTATCTTCAATATCTCTTCTGTGGGGCTGTGCAGGTCCTAAAGACTTGTATATATTGTGCAAATAGTGGAACCTCATTCCCCAGAGGAGGAAACTGTAGCCCAGGGAGGCAGAGTGACTGTCACACAGTGTGTGAATGGCAGAGAGTGGCTGAGAGCCCAGCTTAACTTAGAGCCCAGTGCTTTTTTATTCCCCCCTTCCTCCATTCTCTGCTGCTCTGGTTTTATTCATTGTTCACACGCAACATTCTGAAGCCTGTCCCAGGTTTTGTATGCATCCACATAGCTCTCTGCAGCTCAGGGGGCTATTTAGGCTCAGAGGAAGCCTGTGCCAGAGCTGGTGAGCAAAATGGAAATACTTCACAAGCTTTATAAGAAGGGTTCCAACAGAATTGCAGAGGTTAACTCTGAAATAAATTCTCAGTGACCAAAAGTACAGGCAGAGTCACACAGTAATGTTCACCAGCCCTCAACTGTGCTTCTCTGTCATTCTGCTCAATTCATATCGCTTCCTGATCACCCCATAGGCTGGCCTCATGCTGAGCCCTGGACTCTGGAAGACCAATGACATCAGATTAAGGGATGTGAACAGATGTGGACGTAGGCTCTGACCACACGATGTACTCTGAGCAGAGACAGAAAAATATAGGAAGCTGGGGGAGCCCAGAGGAAGAGTCCCTAGACCAGCCTGGTAGATAGGAAGGGCTTCCTGGAGGAGGTGATATCTCAGTTTCACTTTTTTCTATGTGAAGAATATTCTCTTGCACTGATAACATGGCTTTCCTCAAACCTGGAAAATGTATGGGTGAGGAGAAATGAACTACCCTTGAAACACTTTAGTTTTTGCTTCTTGGAGGTTTAGGTAATTCTGATTTGCTGATTGGATCCTGACGTGGACATTTTTGCCATAATGCCATATATATGATCCTGAAACAAAACAAAGTAAAACATAATCCTTTTGCAAAGTCATATGGTGTAAACATGATAGGATTTAACAAACAAGTTTGGGGCAGATCATTTAAATCTATGGATCTTTGTAAGCGGAGTGCTAACGAAAATAGCACTGGTCCCAGTGAAACATCAGCAGGGCTAAATCACCATTAGCATTTGCACCCAGCCTCAAGGTCACTTTGAGGTCATGCCTGACCCTGATGGCTCAGACGATATGGTAAAGAACCTGTGCACCAATGCAGGAGACATAAGAGACATGGGTTTGATCCCTGGGTCAGGAAGATCTGCTGGAGAAGGAAATGGCAAACCACTCCAGTATTCTTGCCTGGGAAATCCCTTGGATAGTGGCGCCTGGAGGTCTATAGTCTGTAGGGTTACAAAGAGTCGGAAACCACTGAGCAACTAACACACTTTTCATGGTCACTTCATCCTAGCAGCCTTGAATCTCAGGTTTTGTGCTTCCTTCCAGATGTAAGATCTTTATGGCATTTGCCTCTGACAGAGACTAGGATCACCAGAGTGAAAAATCTAAGGTTTTGATTTTTTCAAAAGGAATACTATTTTTTTTTTTCCTTAGCTACCACAGGAAGTTTCTGCACTCTCCACTTCCCCAGAGAGTCTCACACTGGAGAGGATGGTGCTTCCCGAAGCCACTAAACCAGTGATGATGTGCACCAGAACAAAGCACTTCTGCAGGGTTTTCCGCATTTTTGTAAGGTCTTCATAAAATGTTACAGCTTCCTCTTTAGTAGTGAGAAGGCTTGCTCCTAACTGCTTCAAAACAAGCAAGTGCTAGAATATACGGCATAGGAATCAGTATAATTTCCACATAATATGGACAGTGTTCCCCGCCTTTATCCATCATATTCACGGGTGTGCACTATTCCTATGAAAGAAACACATTTCAGCAGAACAGACTGTTTTTTTGTTGTGTTTTATTTCTGCCACACTGGTATGCAGGATCTTAGTACCCCGACCAGAGATCGAACCCATGCCCCCTACACTGAAAGTGTGGAGACTTAACCACTGGACCACCAGGGAAGTCCCTAAGAACAGATGGCTTTGAATCTTCCTTGAGGGATGACATTTAAAGTGCTTTCTTCTTCAGGAAGTTTTCAAAGACCCTCTGGCCTCAGCCCACTCATCCTCTACAATGCACACGACCCTTTAT